AAGCCTGCTGACCTGAGTCTATTATCTTTTCAAGAACCATATTTTCAAACCTGGGTACAATGAGTGCTCAGGAAGTACATCAGACAACCTCCTCCCTTCTTGTTACTCCGGTAGCATAGGTATTGTGAGCAAAAATCAATACTCATCTCTTCATCTGGTATATTTGCGTGACACCAAGGCTCAATGTTAACTGTTAGAGGCGGCTTAAACATGAGCGCGATTCCTCTTAATACAGATGGTTTGCTAAGAACAGACCTTGTGTTTATGAGAACGATGTACAAATACAAGCGGTAATAATGTGTAAAGCTGTCTAATTCACCAACCAGACCAAAAGGCACCTGGGTGTTGCTTGATTGAGTGTGGCCTGATGTCATTGCGCCACAAAACGCCTCTACACCTCACTCACTTGCAGCTGTAAGATAACTAAAATATCCTAGTGGCAAATCGACCACGTAATGACTTGAAGTAGCATCAGCTTTATTGTGGAAGAACGGAGTAAGGTTTTTATTTCGGGTGTCCAGTGTGCACGTCGTATCCGTACACACAGAGTTCGGCTCAGTGCAAGCGCAAGTTAATTGTATCTTTTCTGTTGTCCCGAGGACACCAAGATTAGCGGCTAAGATTAAGGGGCTTTAACATCCCCATCAGTTGTTTGGTCAAAGCTGCAGCTAATAGGGATGTAATGGATAAAAAATTATCGTGCTCTTACGGCCCATGTAGACTTTCTTTCTGAGTTATGTCCCCTACCAGCGACTGCCCTCTGTTGTAAGTCACACCGGACATAACCGACGTTATGTTGGGTCCGGGACTGTTTCTTAGTGAGCTGGTACCATGCAGGCATCACAGCTTTCCCTCACAACGTACCTTGCTGACGTTCTGTTATAGGTGGTTTGATGTTGGCTCTTCTCATTAGTAAACGATGGGGTTGGGCTGCTGTGACGTCTATTTGTGTTCTCCTAACTGGCGGGACGTAGCTGAGTACATGGAACGTTTTTGGCGGGGCCGCTGTTCGTATTTCTGTCGATTCCAAAGGGGATTCTCTGATCATTTGGAATCACTGTATGCTTTCTTTGTTCATCTCTGCGTGCCAGGTTTCGTGAGAGAATGGGTTGATTGGTTTCATATCGAGTGGCCGATATCCTAGATCCTAGGCTGGTGTGGGTTGTGGACTTTAGGCCTTCATTAAACCTCAGTGAGAGTTCTGCGACGTTTAGTGCAGTTTCAGGTTTTATTTCAGGGCTTCCTATAAATACATTCAGATCCACAGTTTTAGGTGGTTAAGTCAAATCACAAATTTGTGGTCTTCCGTCCGAAAAAGAAGGCATGGTACCGGTGGCGTACATCATGCGAAGAATCAGACCTTCGGAGCTACAAGACGTTACGAAACTTGTGTAATGTAAGAATTCGCAATGACAGGTAAACACACCAAAGAAACCTGGCTAAGCAGTTTAGCTGCAATCCGAAAAGTCTGTGCCGGTTTATGTCACAGCACAACTCGACAAATGAGGGCATAAGCTTGATCACATGGCCGGCCGGAAAACCCTTGAGCAGCAGTGAGATAGCGGAGCTTTTGGGCAGTCGATTTGACGAGCAACTCAACCCAGTGATACATCCGCTATCAACATCTGGCAATGTGACGAAGTCCCAGGACTGCGATACAAAGCTGATGAACGTGAAGACTTCGTCAAACCAAGTGTTTGTGAAACTTTAAACAGTGGGGATAGGGAATTCGCTGGGCTGTGACGTCAGGAAACCGGTAGTCCTACGCAACCGTCCCGAAGTACTTAGCATATCCCTATGCAACCTATTCATAAACTCGCTGGAAGTAAGTCAACTCCTAAAAGAATGGAAACGCGGCATCCTCCCACCAATCTTCAAGGGGGGGGGAACCGAAAGAACCCATGTAACTACAGACCAATAGCATTACTCCCCATACTTTCCAATGTACTGGAAGGCCTGGTTGCAGATGTTGTTTGAGACTACCTTGGCAGAAACAACATCGTCCATCCCATCAGACAGGGCTCCAGAATCGGGCGGTCCTCCGCCACAAACTTGATGACGGCCTGGGAAGACTGAACTACTAGATGGGACAAAAAACAACAAGTTCGCGTTATCTTGTCGGACTTGGCCAAAGCTTTTGATAGCGTCCAACATCGCATTATGCTCACCAAATTAGCAAAAGTGGGTACCATTGGACCACTCTTAGCGTGGCTTATAGCATACCTGGAGGACAAAATTCTGCACTAAAGTCAACGGAATTCTATCAACCTGGAGGAAAGCAAGAATATGAGTTTCTCAACGAGCAATCCTTGGACCACTCCTGTCTTGACTATTTATAAACGACCTCCCTACCAAAATCTCCTCATCTATCCTTCTGGTTGCCGACCGCATCACAGTGTGGAAGATCATAGGCGACGAAGAGGATACTCCAAAGCGACCTGTTGCAGCTGGAGTCCTGGCCAGCCGCAAACAGTTTAAGCTTTAATCTGCAGAAGTGCAAGGTGATGTATCCTCGTACTCCTGAGGCAATGAAAATCGACTTCACTCTTAACAAGCGTGCAGTCACTAAGGTGTCCACTGAGAAGGACCTGGGGCTGAACTTTTCTGACGCAATGGATACTACCGGTATTTATAGGGGGGTGGCAGCAAAGGCGAAAGCCATTATGCACTTTCTAAGAAGGTAACTTGGAATGTCAATCCCAGAGTTATTCCTCATGGTATTCAAAACCTGTGTGAGACCACATCTACAGGTGCTCAAAATGATAGCCCCCCCCCGCTACTAAAGAGAGACGCAAACTCTTTCCAGAAGGTACAAAGAAAAGTAACAAGGGCGAAACGTGTGCGCATGCCTGAGACAACTCAACTTGTTTACGCCAAGCTATCGGAGAAAACGAGGTGGTCTGATAGCAGCCTGCAAGATCATTCACCAAGAGGGCCACCCAAATAGGACAACACTATCCGTCTAAAACCGACAATCCCATAGGAACCCCACTCGCATACCCCACCGTGGAGCAAAGACCAGAGTAAGAACTAACTTCTCCTCCCATAGAGTATGTGCCTTATGGAACGCGCTGCCGAAAGAAGTGGCCACGGCCACATCAGTCAACTCCTTCAAACGATTTCTGGATGAGCATGTGAGCGCAAATGGCTTGCCACGAACGTTTGTTAGTAGCAGCCGATGATGCGCCCTTCCATCCCTGTATTCCCCTTCTATTCCCTAACTCTAGTATCTACAGTAATACGCACCTCTCCTCCATATTGTTACCAGTCACATTTATCTTCTCAAAAGTACTTTTCATGTCTCTTTTTCCCATTCCCCACTCACCCCGTTCCTATCGCTATCTAAGTAACACTTAACACTTACTAGCAGGTGTCTACAACAACAGAAATCGCGAACGGTTGGTTGATCTTATCAGCAGCTCCGTTGCGCTCCCTAAACAAACCAAGCTACAAATTGCAAGTGAAACATCTTCAAATAGACAAACACTGCCTCCAAAGCTATAAGCAGGAAAACGCAAAGACTTCTGAGACCAGTGAAGGAGTACAACCGAACAAAAGAAACCAAGCCTCAAGGCTTAGAAGTGAGACCTCAAAAACTGCAAGTTTCCCCTACTTGCACTATTGATGTTGGGTGTTGTTCACTGAGAAAAATACCATCCAGATGTCGCCTGTAAAAATGCATGTGTTCGTATGACTCACTGCTCGAAATATATTGTTATCATTATTATCGCCAATTTAAGTGAGGCAACTGCCCATCTTCCAACTGAAAGTTGCTGTGGAGATGATTTGTTGCCCGCTGAAGTTACGGTAAAGTAGCTTTTGAAACGGCCCGCCTCGATATGTCGTTAGGCCCCTTCGAGTCGAGTTTAATGGTAGTATCCCTGACTGGTTACGCAATACCGTCTTTCAACAAGGTGCTGGCTTAGTTGAAGTGATCACTTTGCTACGTTGATTTGACAGCTGCGAAAAAAATTACGCAATATTAATAACAGAGGCCAAGATTATGCTAACAAAATAAGGGTTAAGGACACATCAACCATTATAGTGTCTAAAATTGTTGGATGACAGAAATGCTGTAGCCCAACTATTATGATATCGCTTTGTGAAAAGCCCAGCGCATAATAACTTAATTTGACGAAAACGCTTGCAGAAATCCTAGATATATTAATGAGAAGCTTTTGCACTACGAACTAGATCAGTTTACCATAAGTAACTTTCAAATGACAAGTCCACTAACCGACTTGCGACACAGTAATCACAAATATAACTCGTAAACTCAAACTGTGTTGGTGTGCCAAATGCTCGCCAGAAGTTAAAGTGAACCCATGGCTCTCCATTTCGTTAAGAATGCGCACCTGACTCCCAGCACGTACATATGAGTTCGAATATCACCACAACTGTTACATATCCTCCACTGTCAAACAACATGGGAACAAAAGAAATTGAAGTCGACAGAGAATGTATTTACCATACAGTCGAATCTAAAAATCTCAAACAGTCAAGTAACATTCAGAAACGAGACGACATCAGACTGATTGAAATGCGAGGTTTATCCAGGTTCCATTTTTATATTTGACAAAGAGCGGAGGACACTAGTTTTCTTACAGGAAACAGCTCGAAAGACGGAAAATACGGGATACAGCCACTCTAGCCGAAGCTTCGTAGTCACATCAGAACCCATTTACACTCAATCAACTGTGTACTTGAAGGTGTTTGTCAAGACGAACAGACTCTGCACATCTCTGTATTTCAAGAAAGCGGTGTCCTGGTAGTAGCCCAATTGACCTAGCTCTACTTGAAAGGTAGTGACTCGTCTCCACTAGAGATTGGTACATCACAATAGACTGGTATACCTTGCTGCATGAGACTGGGGGTCACGCTACCGGAGTGTATATCCTTTCAATTCCATGTGAAACATGAACAAAAAGTACGGAGTAGCTGTAGGATGGTGAATCACTTTGTCGAGAGGTCGGGAATGGCAGTGAGTATGGTATGAATTCATGAAAGTAAGGATCAAAATTTAATCTGAAAAAGCCAAATAAGTTGAGCACTGGGAAAATTGATCATTCATGTAAAGTATCTGTAAAATCTCGGTAAGGTAGAAAAATAAGTTTCCGACGTTCCACCGCTTCGTTAAAATCGCTTCTTTAGAGAACTTAACCTGTACAAATTGTCGACCGTTCAAATGGAAAATGGTGACAAACTGGATCACGTTGTTCTTTGGTGGCAATAATTTGAGAATAAGAGTCATCGTCGTAAGTTATTAATCCGTGAGTTCAGGGTAAAGATGTGAGTGCGTGGGCACAGGTGAATGGGTGCGTAGGTGTGAGAAGGATGCTGTGGATAAGAAATTCTGCTGGTGTGTACATGGCCTACTCGTGCTTAGTGTATGTGAGGTGTGATTTTGTATATACCATCCAAATCGGCCTAACATTGAGCCTTCCTTTCTGCTGAGCATACTAGGATTCACAATAGTGTGAAATACCTCAGCTATCCCTCTTTCCTTGTGGTATGAGAAAGCTTATTTGAACAACTTTACTAGCTGCGATATTAATTTTGTGACTTTGGTAGATTGCGTGGATTGCAGTCACCGATTTGATTGCTGTTCATGCTCTTCATTTTGATAAATCTGTACTTAAAAGAAGTAAACCCTACTATCTTTCACACAGTTATCATATCCGCCGTTATGCCGTGAGAAGTGAAAAAGTTTCACGAAGAAATTCTTGTATGCACTGATCGTATTTTCAGTGACAAATAAGGCTAGATGACATTAGTTCAACCATCATCTGATTGTCAGTTATAATGTTCCAGCCAGGGCGGTTCAGGAAAGAGCTGTAACCTTTCAACTTATTTGCCTCACGTGCTAGTGATGTACCCTATATGAATCAAGAATGAGGTCTTTATCTCGGCAAAGAAAACCATTTCGTTTTCAAAGGAAAATTTCCGTCGCTTGTGAAGAACGTAGAAATGAACTTCGTCAACACCTGCTTTTTTAGGTATAGAAATGTAAATATGATCATGAAAAATTCTTTACATAATGTCTGTAAAGATTTGCACTGTAGAAAGCAGCTATTTAGTGGTCTAGGTTGTCATGTTGTTTTAATGAGCCTTGAGTCAATAGTTACTTTCGTTCAACAAGTACTGTAAGTCGCTAAGTCCGAGTTCATCAAACTTCCTATGTGCGTAATTTATTTGTCGTCGCATAATAGTGTTTGATACTTTATTCAGAGTTTTGTGTTCTTAAAGACATTGTTTCGTACATATTTGAGTCCCGCTGGCGCTATGGTGTTCCGCAGTTTGTCCAATATCCATGTTCAGCGAGCACCGATAGAGTTGATAAGGCTATCGGTCATTGGAATGTTGACCAAGAGTATTGATTGCACTGAATTCACCTATTTCTTTATGATGATTTACTTCAGTATACAGGTATAAACAGTATTTGCAGGCGTAGTTTTTAGTTGAGGTTAAGATATGTAGTTTATATGTCCTATAGTTGTTAGATAAGATGATGCTGTTGCATGTATACATTATCCCATGAATGACTTACCTGTTGGATAGACATTTCGATGTGGTTTTTGAATAAAGTCCCAGTCCTTGAGATCGGGAAGCTACCTTAATCAGCGAATACAGGTCGATTGTCAACTGGTAATTGTTACGGTAACTATTTCGCTATATATTCTTCTTAGACACAAAATGAGTGTACTGAATTGTGATGGATAACTTGAATTATACCCCAAAGTAATTTCAGCCTATTGCATACAACAAAGGAAAGCCTTCACTCTAACCTTCAGGTTTTAGGTTACTCAGAAAACCATGTTCTTGCATTTTGACACAACCCTTTTTCTAGTCAGTTGGATTCTCTTACTCATTATTTTGGCTTCCCATGCGTAGCCGTATTATTGTAAGTTTTCACCTGAGCACAAACTAGCGAAATGGCGAAAAGTGACAATTCTGAAATTAACTGTTATGTGTTTGGGTTTTACTTAAATTGTCTCGAGCATTGGTTTTACGTGTAAGTGAATACTGTGCATTCGCATTTTTGTTTCATGTTACATGTGCATTATTTCCATGATAAATGAATCAATTGGTGAGGATACGACTTCCAGAAGTCAGGTTTTAGGTTTTCTTACTTGACACAAAAGCCGATCATCCATGATGATAAAGTTCGTCCCGAGCTAATTTACTCTTGTTTCAAGTCACCTAAGATGTGTCGACTTATTGTAATGAAGGAATAAAGGTAAGCCAGGTCCAGAGTCGTCTCATGTAGTCCTTTCCATGATTAATTTTCCTCTATCAAATACAAAAGGGAGGGTTGGACTTCTGACGTCATTTCTCGTATGTTGGGCTGACTCTCATGGTGATCATGCAAATGGTCTTCCTCAGCAATCTCCCCATTAGATCAGACCTTTCAGTTGAGTGCTTGTTACTTGTACTCCATTCTTTAGTTTAAGCATAACAGGTTGTGTATTGGGTATTGCACATATCACTACTGATCACAGTGTGGAGCTGCGGCTCGTTGGTCACAGGATGTAGTTTTCTCAACCAATGAAAACTTAAACAACCTGGTAATATCATTAATCCCCACAAGATGTGGCTCGTAGCCAAGTGTACAAGTGTTTACACTATAGTCGAGTTGTATTATTTGCTTTTGAGTGTTAATCAGTCCTTATCATCGTCGGACCCGGCAATATTGTGTAGCGGTTAGAATTGCCATACTTCTCAGTAGTTACGAACAGATGGATAGAAAAAGATTGATATCAAAGTAGATGAAGTAGTGTAAAAGAATAAAGAATGTGAATGGTTAGTGCGAACATTCAAGATGTAGATGTCGAGGAGTGAATACATCTGCGCCATTGTCCCTGATTATCAGCTATGTCACCAGGAATCCTCAAGCCCCGATTCCTATCGTCTTGGGGACCCCAACCACACAGTCTACATCTCCCTACATGGCTCAGGCGAACACTAAGAGACTTCGCCGACTAGTGCCAGGTCTTGGTCTGGTCATTCTAGATCCTCTTTCAACCTAATCCAACTTTCCCTAGTATAACACTTTGGGGTAGGATGTGGATTGGCATGTGCAGTACATGTCCAAGCCATTTCAGTCGCCTAAAATTCACAACCTCTTCAATAGACTTTTCTGTCGGACGGACTGGAGTGGAGTATATTCGTCCTTTGACAGTTATTCGGATATCTCCCCAGTCGGCACCACAGGTGATCCAAGTTGGCAAGTGCCAAACGGCCCTTCTGTATCCAAGTTGAGATTTCGTCAGCAACCATTGTTCGTTCGTTGGCATGGTATTCCACAATTACTCCCAAGATGCCTCTCCAATCGGATCAGCCTCATTACTTGAGCGTTTAAGTCACCTGGTATTGACTACATCTAAAAGTTTTGTTTCATGTGGCAAAGTTGACAGCTTTTCACAGGACCCATCCTTTACATCATCTGAACTGAAGTCGGTGGGTGAGTAGGCGGAGATTACCAATAGGCATCGCCTAGTCTGACGATCCTTCCTAGTCTTTACACATCCATTCAGTTGAACAGCACATTAACGGATTTTTGTTGGTGTCCAGTCACAAAGCGCCCTTTCTTCCCAACGACTTAGCGCTACACTCACATCAGCGAGTTCACGAGAGCTAACCATTCGGTCTCCTATTACTCTTAAGGTTAATTCTGAATGTTCACTACTATGGCCAGTTGAGGTCAATCTAATAACCACACTCGGGTCCTGTATACGTGTCTGACAGACACAACATACATCCACGGCTTGAGATTTCAGAGTTTTAACGAGCGATGCTTGCTGTCCGACTTAGCATAGAGTTTGGACGTCGGAAGTTCCTACATGAAATCGATGGTGGGGTCTTAAGATACCAGAAATGAGGTCTCGATGGTGTTGGTCTTTGGCAATGGTAGCAAAGTGGGAGGTTGGGTAAGGCTTAAGAGGTTTAATATTAATATGAGGAGGTGTAGGTAAAAGGAGGCCGTTGAGAATAGGTTATGCTTGGCTGGGTCTTGTGTACTGCTGCAAGTGTGTGGTCAGTTGACACTTCCTGTCACTATGGGAACAGAAAAAGATTTGTCACTTCAGATCCCGCAAGGCATCTGCTTGAAGCCTGCAACACAACTTTTTGCCGAGGAAGGGTGTGCTGTTTTTGGGTCCTTCGTTTTCCAGTCTCCCTATCCTGTTGGGAAGGTGGCATCAGCGTGGTCCTGCCGACCACTCAAGAGAAACACCTTAGTGCTGTCATCCCGCCCAGCTAGCGGTAGTACGACTTCGCTCTCAGACCTCTATCACTGTGTAGCAGTTTATGCTACAGCAGTAACTACTTTTCGTTTTACCATTGTCTAGGAGATCTTTACGGCATGATAGGACCTTGAAGGAACAAGCATTCCAACCACTTTAGTTCGTTGGGTCATTATGGTATTCAAGCCCGACCACCACGTCAATGTAGCAGCTACGACTAAGCGTTCAGACCAAATCTTTATATGTACTAGATCTGTTTTATTGCATTTGTTTCGGGAATTCGTGTTTTCATCCATAGGTAGTCAGTTTTCGACTCTGTTCGAACGAACAAATAACGGTGAACGCCTGCTATAAGTGCTCGGGCAATCGTTTATTTCTAACTGGCACAAACTTGAGACATAAAGAGGGACGTCTAAAGTGGTGTCCACCGAGCTCAACTTATCGATGGACACAGATAGATTACACTGATATGAGTCATCGCTGGAGAGGATCGGTGGGAGGCTGTTGCTTCTTCTGAAGCATGTGTTTGGATACGGATTACGCGATGGATTGGTTGTGTGTGTATCTGCGTCTCGATGGACGCGGAAAAACGTAAGCAACAAGACTATTACGAGTGCGGCTCGATAACGAGAGCATTAAAGCCACTCAATGATAAACTGTCTAGGCAGTTATAGGAACCGAACACGCTCATCTAGAAGAAGCTTGGTGCCGTCTTCATTCTTCTGTAAAAATACCGTTGAAGATCGTGACCGACTCAAAGTGTAGTTAAAAAGAGCCAGTGGATATCAGTAGCTCGTTTTGAATTAATGGATGCACACGAAAGCATCCTTGCAGACTCTGATTACAATAAGGAGTGAACGCAACTCAAATGTAGACTGACAAAACGTCCACGCAATAACTGAACAGTGCTAGATAGCGAAGGCTAAAGAGACGGAAAAGGCAGCGGCAATAGGTAACAGTAAACAGAAAAACGGCAGAAAGGTCAACGGTTAGTAAGTGTAACCAACAAGAACAGGTCTGCGGTTCTCACGAAGGGGAGATGGCTGGAACGATGTGCAGAACACTTCGAGAAACAGTCCAACTGGTCTACGGCTACTGTTGCGTTGCCCAATATCCAGTCGGATCCTGAATGGAGCATCCAGATTGATCCCCAACACTTGCAGAAATCGAGAAAGCTGTAGATAACTTAAAATGAGGAATGGGAGCTGGGTTAAACGTACTAGTTCCTTAAGCATATAAGGACGGTAGTAGTGTTTTTAGTCAATTTAACTGAAGTATCGACTGGTGTATGGGAATCATATGACCCCCTGTGACTGGAATCAATCACTGATTATCCCAGTCTTTAAGAAAGGGGAGATATCCTCTTGTGATAGCCACAGAGGAATCTGTATGATGAACATAGTGTCTAAGATTCTGGGTTCTATGATCACTAGACGCCTGAGTGAAGCTCAGGAACAGCAAGCCTGCGAAAACCAGGCAGACTTCAGACCCGGCCGTGGGTGTATCCACCAAATATTCACATTCTGCCAGGTTCTGGAACATGCATGCTTACTGACGCCCAGAAATAGCTGTATTTCTCGACTTGAAGGGAGCATTCAACTTAATCGATCTAGAAGCCTTATGGCAATATCACCCACTGTAAGGGGTACCTGGTAAGTTATTTATTATAATTTGTCCTTTGGGTTCCTAATGAAACATAGGGCTTCAGTAGCACGTTTCCAGTGCGCTCTGTTCTCTGAAATCTTTTGAACCTGAAGTTGAGGTAAGGTAGAGGGTTGACTGCTATTCTATACTCTGTTGTATGATGATGCGTAGAGTGGCGTTGCAACTTGGTCCGCACATGATTTGTACTTCCTGAATCCAGCCTGTTCTGGTCGTAGTTTTGAATCCAGTGTATTCTTTAGTCTCTCCAGAATGATGCGGCTTAATATTTTGCTTGGTGTGGATGAACAGTAGCATGATTCTGTGCCAGTTCTTGCAAAAACTTAGGTCTCTGTTCATTGGGAGTTTGACAAGATAGCCCTTCCAATCTTCAGGTACCTTCCCTTCCTTCCAGGCCTTCTGCAGCAGTGGTGTGAGCATGTCTGCTGTTGTCTCTGCGTCTGCTCTCAGTGCTTCTGACGGGATTCCATGTGGTCCTGCTGCTTTCCCACATTTCAGTAGCTTTATGGCGTTCAGGACTTC